TGGCTGCATTCTGAGTGAGTCACTTATTTAGTCACTAAAATATAGTCAGTGACAGAAGGCAGACACATTAGAGAAATATATATAATATTTTTACTGCATGAAACGCATGTTTACGCAAGGCAGTATGGGTAGAAGGGAAGAACAAGGTATGTTTAAAATACTAGATAAAACTTACCTCCTGAAATGTAGTTGGTGATGTATTAAAAGGCAGTTATGGGTAGAGAGGAAGACAACAATTTAAGAACAAGGTATGTTTAAAATACTAGATAAAACTTACTGCTGAAATGTAGTTGGTGATGCATTAAAAGGCAGTTATGGGTAGAAAGGAAGACAACAATTTAAGAACAAGGTATGTTTAAAATACTAGATAAAACTTACCATCTGAAATGTAGTTGGTGATGTATTAAAAGGCAGTTATGGGTAGAGAGGAAGACAACAATTTAAGAACAAGGTATGTTTAAAATACTAGATAAAACTTACTGCTGAAATGTAGTTGGTGATGCATTAAAAGGCAGTTATGGGTAGAGAGGAAGACAACAATTTAAGAACAAGGTATGTTTAAAATACTAGATAAAACTTACCTCTGAAATGTAGTTGGTGATGTATTAAAAGGCAGTTATGGGTAGAGAGGAAGACAACAATTTAAGAACAAGGTATGTTTAAAATACTAGATAAAACTTACCTCTGAAATGTAGTTGGTGATGCATTAAAAGGCAGTTATGGGTAGAGAGGAAGACAACAATTTAAGAACAAGGTATGTTTAAAATACTAGATAAAACTTACCCTCTGAAATGTAGTTGGTGATGCATTAAAGGCAGTTATGGGTAGAGAGGAAGACAACAATTTAAGAACAAGGTATGTTTAAAATACTAGATAAAACTTACCATCTGAAATGTAGTTGGTGATGTATTAAAAGGCAGTTATGGGTAGAGAGGAAGACAACAATTTAAGAACAAGGTATGTTTAAAATACTAGATAAAACTTACCATCTGAAATGTAGTTGGTGATGTATTAAAAGGCAGTTATGGGTAGAAAGGAAGACAACAATTTAAGAACAAGGTATGTTTAAAATACTAGATAAAACTTACCTCTGAAATGTAGTTGGTGATGTATTAAAAGGCAGTTATGGGTAGAGAGGAAGACAACAATTTAAGAACAAGGTATGTTTAAAATACTAGATAAAACTTACCGACTGAAATGTAGTTGGTGATGCATTAAAAGGCAGTTATGGGTAGAGAGGAAGACAACAATTTAAGAACAAGGTATGTTTAAAATACTAGATAAAACTTACCATCTGAAATGTAGTTGGTGATGTATTAAAAGGCAGTTATGGGTAGAGAGGAAGACAACAATTTAAGAACAAGGTATGTTTAAAATACTAGATAAAACTTACCATCTGAAATGTAGTTGGTGATGCATTAAAAGGCAGTTATGGGTAGAGAGGAAGACAACAATTTAAGAACAAGGTATGTTTAAAATACTAGATAAAACTTACCGACTGAAATGTAGTTGGTGATGCATTAAAAGGCAGTTATGGGTAGAGAGGAAGACAACAATTTAAGAACAAGGTATGTTTAAAATACTAGATAAAACTTACCATCTGAAATGTAGTTGGTGATGTATTAAAAGGCAGTTATGGGTAGAGAGGAAGACAACAATTTAAGAACAAGGTATGTTTAAAATACTAGATAAAACTTACCACTGAAATGTAGTTGGTGATGCATTAAAAGGCAGTTATGGGTAGAGAGGAAGACAACAATTTAAGAACAAGGTATGTTTAAAATACTAGATAAAACTTACCACTGAAATGTAGTTGGTGATGCATTAAAAGGCAGTTATGGGTAGAGAGGAAGACAACAATTTAAGAACAAGGTATGTTTAAAATACTAGATAAAACTTACCATCTGAAATGTAGTTGGTGATGTATTAAAAGGCAGTTATGGGTAGAGAGGAAGACAACAATTTAAGAACAAGGTATGTTTAAAATACTAGATAAAACTTACACGCTGAAATGTAGTTGGTGATGCATTAAAAGGCAGTTATGGGTAGAAAGGAAGACAACAATTTAAGAACAAGGTATGTTTAAAATACTAGATAAAACTTACCGACTGAAATGTAGTTGGTGATGCATTAAAAGGCAGTTATGGGTAGAGAGGAAGACAACAATTTAAGAACAAGGTATGTTTAAAATACTAGATAAAACTTACCACCTGAAATGTAGTTAAAGCAGAGGTGCAGCGCATACGTAAGACTATGGTGGCTGTTTAGGGCTATCCATTTCCATCTAACTTTCTGCCATTTCCATTCAACTTCCATTTCCCCTATAGACTTCAATTCCCATTCTGGCCATGTGTTTATGCGCATGCGTTTTGTGTGGTTAGACTGTACTGAACCTTCTCTACGAACATGGTTCATAGAACATAGAAGAGGTTCAGTGCAGTTGAACCACCCGGAATTTGTGTAATTTTACTTGCGGGGATTACGTAATGCAAATCGCATCCTCGGTCTCTCCTCCTCCCCTGGCCTCCACCTCGGTGTTCTGACCTAGGTCATCACGTGACTATTTATAATTATCCCGCTCCATAGCTAGCTACATCCAGCTCTGTCTCCATCGTGAGCTCAGGCACTTCTCAGATTGGTTCGACCGTTTGGAGTTAAAAGTTATTGGACCAACGAAGCTTCTTGCTGCTAAAAATCGAACAATCTCAATCTGAGAAGTGCGTACCAAGAGCAGCCATGGCCGAGCTCGCGATGGAGACAGAGCTGGATGTAGCTAGCAATAGAGTGGGATAATAAATGCTAAACAGTCACGTGATGACCTAGATCAGAACACCGAGCTAGGATGCGATTTGCATTACGTAACCCACGCAAGTAAAATTACACAAATTACCGGGTGGTTCAACTGCACTGAACCTCTTCTATGTTCTATGAACCATGTTCGTAGGTTCAGTACAGTCGAACCACACAAAACGCATGCGCAGAAACCACGTGACAGGAATGGAAATGGAAGTCTATAATGGGGAAATGGAAGTGGAAGTGGAATGGAAATGGAAGTTGAATGGAAATGGAAGTTGAATGGAAATGGAAGAAAGTTAGATGGAAATGGATGGTCCTAAACAGCCGTCATATAAGACAGAACAAAAAATCATTCAAATTTCTACCGTGGCCAAGAAGTACATAAGCATTTTGCTTTTCCCGTTTCGCATTTCGCGTTTCTCATTTCGCGTTTCTCATTTCCCGTTGGCCTTTCCCGTTTCGTCTCCCGTTTCTCGTTTCTCAGTTCTCGTTTCTCATATTCTCCATTTGACGCTCACCTGCCACCTGGCGGCCCTGGTAGCTAGGACGCGGCGACCGAGAGCTGTGCTGCCAGCCGTGAAGTTCAGAGCGCTTACGCGGTCTAATGGCTACTTAGGGAAGGTGAGAGTGAGTCATGTGCAGCATTTTGGATCTCGGTTAGAGTTGTAGATGATGCCGTCGTCAGTGAAATTTGGACAGGTTTCAGCCGGGATCAAGTGCGTTTTTGCGAGAATACCCTCACAGCTCCAGAACGTACATTCACCCCAACACCTCACGCTTTCCGCGCACCCACTCGATCACTTATCCCGGCTGAATTCACTGACGACGGCATCATCTCTACAACTCTAACCGAGATCCAAAATGCTGCACATGACTCACTCTCACCTTCCCTAAGTAGCCATTAAGCGCTCTGAACTTCACGGCTGGCAGCTCAGCTCTCGGTCGCCGCGTCCTATATAGCTACCAGGGCCGGCCGCCAGGTGGCAGGTGAGCGTCAAATGGAGAATATGAGAAACGAAATGGAAATGAGAAACGGGAAAGGTCAACGGGAAAGGCCAACGGGAAAGGCCAACGGGAAACGGGAAACGCAAAACGGGAAACGCAAAATTCGAAACGGGAAATGGGAAACGCGAAATGCGAAATGGGAAACGCGAAATGCGAAACGGGAAAAGCAAAATGCTTATGTACTTCTCGGCCGCGGTAAATTTCATTACCACATACCTTGTTTTTTTTCGCCTGCCTGTCCTGTAGTGAGTGATTGTGTAAACATTGCTGTGCATGAGTAAGTGTTGGGTACCATAATTTACTCCAGCAACTCCCCTTTCTGTAGGACAGTGCTTTAGATCTATATATACACAATGGCAGTAGTAACAGTGGGCTTATAATTTTGGCTTTGTACTACTAAACGCCATTGGATGCAGACCACCTTACACTTTACACTTTTTTTAGAGAAAGTAAGCAACACCACCCAAGGTAGTATCAAATCTCTTGCCACTGCTATATAGCAGGCATGGACACTATTTATACACCGAACATGTGACAAGCAGCCAATGTTATATAAATCTGAGATATTAGCCTATTAGTACTGGATACCCTGACCCTGCTATCCTCTCTAAGTAACTACAACTACAATTGCTACTAAAAAGGATTTTCAAAAGCCATAACATTAGGCTAGTAGCTCAACCACGCAGCATCGCAAATGGTTGGTGGTATATAACATTCTTGCAGATTAACTAATGACTTACTACTGATGAATGTTCAACTTCGTAGCCTAGACCTCGCCCGATTCTATCTCGCCCTACTTCCGATCATGAACAGGGCATCGCGGGATTTACGCATGCGCATTGCCTTGCGGAATTGCACGCGCGCTCACGCTCGCTCGCAAGCTCATCAATATTACTCTCTAATTATACGAAGTTGGTAATCATCTGTTCTCTGGAAGCTCCGGAAGAAGACAAGGGAAGAAGAGAGACTAGCAGTGTTGTTTGTGCTCTGAGTGAAAATTCGGCATCTCGTAAGTGTATATATAACTTCACAGACCTGAGACAGCCACGCCTTCAGCCTTCAGACACTACATACATACATTGTGCTCTCTTTCGTCGGTCAGTAATACAGTAGCAAGTGCACAGTTTGTTGCATACGTTCCTGTAGCCAATACTTGGCTTCTCTTATATACCTAGCGACTGCAGGTAACTGGTTTCATTTATGAGGTACAGTATGTACTTAGACCCCTAACGTTCCTACAACTACAGCTTCATTACACACTAGTAAGTATAAGAGTACAAGTGGTTGAGTATATAGCAAGAGGCTGTAACTTGTGTGCGAGTGTATATTATTTACTGATACAGATGTCAGGTTGATCAACAGGAGAAGCTAGTCACCCTTTTGTATGCTACTAGCCACAGTGCTTGTGCTGCTGTACACACTAAAGTGCGTGCTAATCAGCTGAACTGTCACATCATATAGGTAGTAAATATCCCAGATAGAGGTGTGGTTATGAGAACATTATCAGGTAATAAGATCAGCTCCGACTCTCTCTACCATAGCCATAACCACTTCATCTGTGTTACTCACTACTCTTCTCCTTTACAATTGTGAAGTTAGTCGAAACTTTAGTTTCTCGTTTGCTTCTTTCACTCTTCTTCTCCCTACGAGTTCATAATGCACGTACATACACAATATGTGCATAGTTTATTGACCTGTTTAAACTTTCACCTTGCGTTGAACCCTTTCACCTGTATTACGATGATGAGACTCGTACATCTATGATGCAAGTTGCCGTGCCATCTCTATTATGCTACCGTAGTCAGCAAGACTGGAGTTCTGTAGTCAGCAGGTCTATCCTTTGACTGCCTGGTACAGAGTACACACATACTTTAAATCACGGGCAGGCACTGGTGTTTATTCTACATGAAAGTTTTGACGCACACATGTAGTAAGAATTTTCATTTGGAAATAGTATTCACTGAAACCAGAGACACAAGTATGCGTGTACTCGTGTCAGGTGTGTACTAGGGACGGAGGGTGTGTCGCCACGACTATTGAAGTTCTTGGCAAGCGACTCTGGTTAGGGTCCTCACACCACCGGGATATGGGGACACCGTTTGCACACACACCGTGCAAATATGATAGTGTTGGAGTGGAGCTATCGAGGCGGTATAGCAGCTAATGTGAGCGCTCGAAAGGCCCTAGCTATGGACGCTTAGGCTGGCATCTTACTGTTGTGTATAATACATTGGAACCTCTCTCTGAGAACACCCCTGAAATGAGGACACCTTTTCTTTCTCCCTACAAGTTTGTGAATGCAAGAATCTCACTTTCTTCTGCCCATTGGTGGCATGGTGTTGAAGCATAACACTGCGTTATAGGCCAAACATGTTTCAATGTCATGCATACATATGACAGTAGTGTATTGAGTAGGACTGTGTTTAGGCATACAGTAAGGAATGTTTGTGGTTTCAAATCTCCTGTTTGGCCATTCATCATTTCCTGACAGCTTCTGTCCTGAGATATTTGGCCACTTCTCTAGACCCACCAGCTGCTACGGCCATTGTGACCCGCCACTAATTAACATTCCTATCTCCACAACTTACACTCTGCATGTACTTAATACAGCCTCCATGTTTATACTGTGAATGGTGGGTACTATATGCTATAGTGAAACTATGCTAGTATTATAGTACTGTACTTAGTCTTATTTGTCAAGTGAAAAATTAGCCTACCTAGTCGTTTTATGTATGTGTGATTCTTTAATAATGTGTATCTATTTGTGGAGGTGTCAAATTTGTATTCACACCTGCGGAAATCGTGTGGAGTTGTTGAAAATGTTCGTTCACCAAAAAAATGAATTGAATACTTTGGCCGCCATTAATGAAGGGGGATACCACTGTTAATGTCCAAATCATGTGCAAGTTAAATAACCTTATACGTGCATGGCAGTGCACTATATACGAATTATGCATGGCATGTACACATTATGTACCTGTCTTGTATTGTTGTACATATCTTGTACAGCTGATGTATACATCTTGGGTGTATTATTGCAATGTGTATATGTCTATATATGTGTATACTGTACCACTGCATGTGCAGGTACAGTACAATCATGTAGGACCTGTTGTTAGTGTCATGTAGTTATGTTGTAGATGGTGTTCTGATTGTGTGGGCATGTTTACATGCCGTGGGCTCTCACATTTACCATGTGAAGATATTATACTGTTGTATGTAGGTTTTTAACGTGTACGCTCCAAAGAGCTCTGTTGCTAGGGTAACATGTATGCCAATATCAGTTTACGCATCTACCTTCTCTTCTTACAGATATTACTTTTGCTGATGGCAGAATTCCCTCCACACACTAAAAACTCGTTATTGTAGAGTTTTGGGTGCAAACGTTTTCACTTTTGTTTTGAGAGGGGTGTGGTTGTTGTCTGGTTGCCATGGAGGACCGCCCGACGACAATAAGGGTGTATCCAGGGGAGTTGAGGCCAGTTTACTACACTTCAGTTCTGGCTTCCCAAACTACCGCCACCCTTGAGGTACAATACATGTAACAGGTTCATGTTCAAATATCTATATATCTACTAGTGGAAATGTTGAACATTGTTGGTGAGCGGGAGCGACCCAACTTGGGATTTGCCCGCGATGTTCGGGCTGCATAACGTGCCGTCAGCGCAGCTTTCCTTTCGTGAAACAAGACAGATCTACCTGTCGCCGTTACATGCATACTGTACATTGGCAGAACGGTGAGCAGGTGAGCAGAACGGTACTTGTCCACCAGGAACGCTGGCATGCAGCAGTATGTGCACGAGCAATCCTAGGCGTATTTACAAGTTGCACCTTCGAACCATGAAGATTGGGAAGAGGTACAGCCTCGGTCAGTCACCGAAGGTTGCATCGCATGCCGTCGAATGGAGGAGAGTTCTCTAGCGGGCTAGATCGATCGGCGCATATCGAGAGGCACCGTGTGAAAATGTGTAAAAATTTGGAAATGGTTTCAGATAAAAAGAAGCGCGTCACAAAGCTTCGCCTGCGACAGCCAGTCGTATATATAATATAGAAAATTCCGCTCGAACGAATGACTAGGTTGGCTCGCTCCCGCTCGCCAACTATATAGAATGCATATTGGCCGGTGAATGTGTTAAGTATTCCGGCATCGCAAATAATATAGAGAACCGTGCAGTTCGTGGACTCGCTTTTCTTGCTGTCCTGCGTTTTTTATACTTTTAACAACATCTCCCCTCCCTCCATCTCTGTCTGTCTCTCTCCTCGTTGTCCAGGTGATACGATTAGCTCTGGAGCGACTGCAGATTTTCGAAGACAAGACGCTCTATGAGCTACACGAGGGTTGCCCCGGTGACGAGGACAACTGGACCCTCCTCAAAGAAGGGGAAAACCCTGTCGTCAGGCAGGCTAATTGGAGCTCCAAGGACACTCGATTCTACCTCAAGCGGAAACGCAACGCCAGCCTCGTGCTCCAACAACTTGTCTCCGAACTCATCCCCGCCGGGAATGGAGGGGTTAACGCGGCAAATTACCGACCTTTGTATCCTTGAAGAACTCTGCGAGGAGACAATGTTGTCTTGTTTAAAGGCTCGATTCTCAGCAAAGTCGATCTACACGTATGCAGGGACGATACTGATTGCGGTCAACCCCTACTATTTCTACCAGATTTACAACCCCAAGTACACGGCCTTGTACCAGGGTAGGCTACTGGACGAACTGCCTCCTCACATCTTTGCCATCGCCGACAGGTACAGTATTTCATATGTACTGCGACAGGGTACAGTGTTTCATATCTAATGTGTGTGGGGGGGGATTAACCAGTTGAAGACGGCAGGCTCACTTGTCACGTACATAGTACACGTGTGTTTTGACTCCCAAAAGACCATGTAATTCCTTCATGACGCTAACATTATTGTAGCCCTTCTGAAGTCCTGATATTTTTCTCTTTTTCTCTCTTTTCTTTCTATGTATAGAGCGCGAGCTGTTCAGTTTTCGTGTAATTCAGCACCACAAGTGCCCTATTATAAGTCATACAGTATGCTCTTCTCTTCTTCTTCTTCTTCTTCTTTGTAACCTCCACTGAAGGAGAGTAGCCTATGGGGTAGGCAATTATATGAGGGCGAGTAGTTGACGGTGATGCTCGGAGTGTAGACGATGTAGGAACTCAACGATCTCTCTCTGAAGTGGCGGATCCTCGATCCAGCAAATTCCCATATGCACTTGGCTTACTAAGCCACTGATGTTGATGTCCCATGTACACATGTACACACAGGTCGTACCACTCAATGCTGGGTGACCGACAGAACCAGACCGTCATCATCAGCGGGTGAGAGTGGCGCGGGGAAGACAGAGTCGACCAAATTCCTCCTCCACCACCTCATGAGTCTCTCTGCAAAGATGGCCGAGACCCAGAGTCTGAACTCATCACGCTCGGGACGGGACCTGTCCTGGAGGTATGTATGTACGCATGGTGAGATGTTGGATATCCCTAGGCAACTGACATGTATGAAGCTAGGTACTTGGGGATTTTATCAGCCTATACAATCCTACATGTGCAAGCAGGGTTCATACATGTCGTTTGCCTAGGGACTGGACCTGTCCTGGAGGTATGTACGCATGGTGAGATTTCGATCATGTGTATGCGTAGAAGTGGCTTATCCTGACGCATAGAAGGGTTCATTGTTTGGATAACTGAACTTTCGTCTTTTCCCCTATTTCACTCCAAACTCTCGCTTCGAACCAACTGAGCTACTGAGCTGCCACTCGGCTTGTAACTTGGCCAAACCCCGTGCAAGACTGATCTCTCTTTATTCTGTAGAGGTTGCCTCTCCTTCCTGCGGACCATGCATGATAGAGCACTGTAGTACAGCGTGAATGTTCTATAAACTGTATTTGTTGGATATCCCTAGGCAACCGACATGTATGAAGCTATAGGTACTGGGGGATTGTATCAGCCTATACAATCCTACATGTGCAAGCAGGGTTCATACATGTCGTTTGCCTAGGGATATCCAACAAATCTGTTGCAGTACCCAGACAGGACAGCATTCGCCCTTACAGGGCTCACGCGGTCCTGTCTGGGCACTGCAACATTTGTACATCTACACGTGTAATGATGCAGCTTAGCTTGCGGGCTGGATTATAACCAGCAGTGCATATGGCATCCATGAAGTAGCTACCGGCCTGCCCACGTGTTACATCCTCTGTCTAAACACCGTATGTGAGTGGGTGTTGGTTGTGTATCCATGTCTGCAGGCATTTGGAAATGCGAGGACGCTGGCCAACAACAACAGCAGTAGGTTTGGGAAGTTCATTCAAGTCCAGTTCAAAGAGAACGGCGCATACTACGGGTGAGTCTTAGATCTATGCATGTTTGTTATTCCTTGTGTTGTCTCTCTGCTGTCCATCTGTGCTGTATGTTATACACACATTTGTACACTGCTTTTGATGGTGTGCGGAATGCTGTTTAGATGTGTCTGTATAACACGTACACTGCGTTTGATGTGACGTGTCACTCTGTCTCCTGTTTGTGAAGAGTTTATTCAGTGAACATGTTAATGTCATAGCTGCCGTTTTGAATATACAGATATAAAGTGAGTCCGTGACATCTACGTGCATTAGAAGCCCCTTGCGTTGTGGTGTTCCGAGCACAGCCAAGGACACTGGCTTCTAATTCTATTCCATACTGTACCCACTATTTCTCACTTCCCTGTCCTCCCCCCTCCCTCCTCCCCCCTCCCCAACAGAGCCTCAATAGTCCAGGGGCTTCTCACGTGATTCATTCTTCCTTTTCATTACTGGTCCTGCTATCCCCTGTCCCACTCTCTCCCCTGCCCAATAGAGCCTCAATAGTCCTTCTACGTGATTCATTCTTCCTTTTCATTACTGGTCCTGCTATCCCCCCCTCCCACTCTCTCCCCTGCCCAATAGAGCCTCAATAGTCAAGTATCTATTAGAGAAGAGTCGCATCATAAGCCAGGCACCGGGAGAGAGGAACTATCACGTCTTCTACTACCTACTGGCAGGGGCCGACTCCCAGTTGAGACAATCTCTTCACCTCCTCAAGATCAACGAATACCACTACCTCACCCAGGTCACCTAAAACAACAATTTATTACTTTATTGTAAAATTTTGACGACATTTTTTGACAAGACTGCACAATTTTTGTGTTGACACCCACACTTTACCTGCCCGTCAGTTGCTGATTGGTGGACATTCCCGTGGCCAGTACAAACCAACAAACAGGAGTGATTATAATACGTTACTCTTACTACATCCAATGGCGGAATTTTATTATTTATTACGTAGTGCATGAAGGTATTAGACCATGTGATGCACATCGTGTATTATGGAGTAATTCCCTAACTAGTGGTAGTACAAGTATACGTAGCAAGGTCTTGTTTGTGTGTTATATCTTTTTTATATGTTCTGCTTTACACTTCTAACTGCTCTTAATAGTGGGGTATATGTATACATAGTGGCTCATACAGCTAGTACATACATATGTGGCTCATACAGCTAGTACATACATATGTGGCTCATACAGCTAGTACATACATATGTGGCTCATACAGCTAGTACATACATATGTGGCTCATACAGCTAGTACATACATATGTGGCTCATACAGCTAGTACATACATATGTGGCTCATACAGCTAGTACATACATATGTGGCTCATACAGCTAGTACATACATATGTGGCTCATACAGCTAGTACATACATATGTGGCTCATACAGCTAGTACATACATATGTGGCTCATACAGCTAGTACATACATATGTGGCTCATACAACTAGTACATACATATGTGGCTCATACAGCTAGTACATACATATGTGGCTCATGCAGCTAGTACATACATATGTGGCTCATACAGCTAGTACATACATATGTGGCTCATACAGCTAGTACATACATATGTGGCTCATGCAGCTATATTATAGTACATACAGGTGTGTAGTACTCCTAATAAGGTCGTTTGTGTGCCTCATACGCGTGTGTACATCTGGCAGTAGGTTGGCATGACACCAATGTAGCCCTAATTACCTCTGACTGGCCCTTTAACAAGTTGTGTGAGGGTGTGTTTACTGGTAGCTATGGACTGGAGCTACTGTGGCATGTGTGGAGACGTAATTCTCTATGCACACTGAACAATTGCGCATGAAAACGTGTTTACTACTTCTTGTAGCTACTCGTATTTATTTTAATTTCCTTTTCAACGATCACACATAAATTGATTGTCCCCATACATATGTATACTAAGTACTGCTGTATTCACTGATATGATGTGTAGTACATATATACTAATGATGAGTCTGACCTCTGACCCCGCAGGGTTCTGCTCTCGCCCCAGTGGAGGGGGTGGAGGAGTACCACAGACTGAGGCAGTCTCTCACCATGCTCAACTTCTCACAAGACATTCAGTTGAGGTCGGCTGCTCCCTACTATAGCTGGCCTAGTTCCCAGGACCTCTCTATCTGTACTAGCTGGCCTAGTTCCCAGGACTCTCTATCTGTACTAGCTGGCCTAGTTCCCAGGACCTCTCTATCTGTATTCAGCTGGCCTAGTTCCCAGGACCTCTCTATCTGTACTAGCTGGCCTAGTTCCCAGGACCTCTCTATCTGTACTAGCTGGCCTAGTTCCCAGGACCTCTCTATCTGTACTAGCTGGCCTAGTTCCCAGGACCTCTCTATCTGTACTAGCTGGCCTAGTTCCCAGGACCTCTCTATCTGTATTAGCTGGCCTAGTTCCCAGGACCTCTCTATCTGTACTAGCTGGCCTAGTTTCAGGACCCTCATATCTGTACTAGCTGCTAGTTCCAGACCTCTCTATCTGTACTAGCTGGCCTAGTTCCCAGGACCTCTCCATCTGTACTTAGCTGGCCTAGTTCCCAGGACCTTGCTCTCATCTGCTACTAGCTGGCCTAGTTCCCAGGACCTCTCCATCTGACTAGCTGGCCTAGTTCCCAGGACCTCTCTATCTGTACTAGCTGGCCTAGTTTCCCAGACCTCTTCCATCTGTACTAGTCTGGCCTAGTTCCCAGGACCTCTCCATCTGTACTAGCTGCCTATTCCCAGGACCTCTGCATCTGTACTAGCTGCCTAGTTCCCAGTGACCGTCTCCTAGTCTTTCCTAGCTGGCCTACGTTCCCAGACTCGTCCATCTGTACTAGCTCGGCCTAGTTCCCAGCGACCTCTCTCATTTCTGTACTCGCTGTGCTCTAGGTCCAGGACCGTCTCCATCGGTACTAGCTGGCCCATAGTTCCACAGGAGCCTCTCTATCACTT